GGGCTCTGTCCCGTGCTGGTGGGAACTCTTGTGGCCTGAGGGGGTGTGTGCGCGCGCATGTGCGTAATCATTTCATCCTCGGTTTTCCTCTGCTTGCTGGGCTGGTCGTGTTCCCAGTGCCCTTGGGGATGTCCTGCTAATGTGTCTTGCCTGTGCTGCCTCTCCCTGTCCCCACCTTCAGGGCTTCTCGAGGTCTCCCACCACAGCGTCCAGGATGGCTGTCCGTCCTAACCTGCACCTCTCTCCCCCTTGTGCCCAGCAAGTTCTTGCTGGCTTTGTTGGATGTGCTCCTTGTCAGGGGCGCCCGTCTCCGCGGGCCTGGGCAGCCTCTCCAAGCAGTTTCCTTCTCCTCTGTCTGACCTTGAGGGCGGTTTGGCAGCTCTTGAGCCCCGCGTGTGGTTTGGACTTGCGGATGTCCTTCGGTCCCTCCGGGATGGAGTTGGCATTTGCGTGTGTGCTGCGGGTTACTTTCGGGCGCATCCCGAGAGGGAGCCTTGAAGCCAGGGCAACTCGAGTTTTGTCCTCTTTTCTCTGCCGGTGAACAATTTGACTGCTCTGTTTATTGTCGTTATTGTTTCCTTTTAACTAGCTTTTCAAATTGAGCTAAAGAATAAAGTCATTTCTGCAGCGGCTTTTTGCTTGCAGGTCTGGAATGATCATGCTAAGTTAATAACCTGTCACAAGGACAGGAACGTTAATTTCCTTTCCCTTGACCAGTCCTTAAGGAATGTGGGAGTGGGGATTGTTCTGGAGGTGAAGTCCAACTAGAGCACAGGTTGATCTGTATAAGCAAAAGCCCTTTAGGTTTGCTAGACCTGTTCACCTAGAAGGCTGTGTTGGGTTCCTGGACTCCCCGATTCTGAGGCCCGGCATCCGCATGCACCCCCATTTATGACTTGACCGCATTCCGTGGATATTCCTGTGACTTTCCCAGGATGCTCAGTGCAGACCACTTAGCTGGATTTATATTTGAAAGCACTTCTTCCCTGTACAGCAATAGTCTTCGTGCCACTAGGAATAACAGAAAGCGTGACTACGTTGTTGAAATGTCAGTAACCAGAAGTAGAAATAATACAGGCGTGAGGTCATTGTGAAGACTGAGGAAAAGGGAATTTAAGGTAGTAAATATCTATTAATAACTAACTCAGTTTAAGTTTTAAATGCCTCGGTGCTAAAAATGACCATATGTAATCATCTGGGGATCTTAGGCCCAAGGGGAGAGAGAGGGTTTAGTTTGAGGGGATGAGGGGCTTTGCCCTTGGCTCTGGCTGGACAGAGAGGAAGTGCTTTTGTAGGGAGGGACCCTAGAGCCTTTGAGATGGTCCCCTTCCTCCCTGTCGTCACCTCTGTGGCTGGGCATCTGAGCCACGTGTCCCTGACTCTGCAGTAGGGGGCTGGGGGCCAGGCCCGGCATGAATGACCAAGCCCAGGGCCTGTGCGTCTTGATGGATTGAGTGCAGGAAAGAGGAGGCAGGTGGCAGTGGATGCTTCGAGAGGCAAGGAGGGATCAAGACCAAAGTAGGAAAAAGTACAGAGAGGAATCTGGGAACGGGAAAGGCAAATGGGGCTGATAATCAGTTTTTTCCGGAGGCTCTGTGTATTTTTAACCATGAGACACCAACCAGAAAGTGTACAGAAAAATAATTTTGCCTGGTTGGTGCAGATTATTTTAAACGTAACTCATTTCAGAACTAATGAGATCTATACACCCACATCTGATTCCTTGAACAAGCAGATGACCTGTTTCCATTTGGTGTAAGACCCTGTGCTTAGGCATTATAGATGAACTTGGTCCAGTCAGACGGCTCAAGACTAATAGATGAATTAAGCAAAGCCCAGATCACACAACAGACAGATTAGAGTTTGGGTTTTAAATAGCATACTCGAGGGAGAAATTATGTACTTCCAGAACAGATCTGTGAAGCCCTACCTGGGCGTTCGAAAAAGAAAAGCTGGCCCTTAACTAGCATTGCCATGCCACAGAATCCACTCTAGAAGGATTGGAGAGGAACCAAGAGTCCTCTCTAACAGGCTTTGGTGGAGTTTGTGGAGAAGTACTTAGTAAGCAGTGTTTCTGAGGTGGTCTTCAGATCCTTTTTCTCTCCAGTCAAAGGAGGCATCTCTCTAGGCTAGAGTGGTTTTTTTTTTTAATGCTTTATTTATTTCTAGGAGAGAGAGAGAGAGAGAAAGCGTGAGCAGGGAAGGGTCAGAGAGAGAGGGAGACACAGACTCTGAAACAGGCTCCAGGCTCCGAGCTGGCAGTCAGCACAGAGCCCGACACGGGGCTCGAACCCACGAACCGCGAGATCATGACCTAAGCGAAAGTCGGACGCTTAACAGACTAAGCCACCCAGGCGCCGCCTAGGCTAGGGTGGTTTGAGGCAGTGAGGTGGTTGAGGTGATTCCATAGTCTCTGATCTGCTGACCTCCGGGACAGCCTTAGGTGTCACAGTGAGAGTGTCGCAGGTTTCGCTGAGAGGAAGGGGGAGGGGTTTCCATATGGAATATTGTTGGAAACCTCCCGGGGCCCATCTCTGCAAGAGGAAGGCGAGCAGGAGCTGGGTGAGTAGAACCTAACAAATGAGATTTACAAACGGGATGGTCTTTCCCGAACAAAAAAGAGCTGAAGGGTGATGTGATTTCAACGTGTAAGACACCGCACTTAGGTCTGTACTTCACACCTCAGGTGGCCCCTCGGTGCCCTTTCTGTAGCTTCCTGTCACTTGGTGCCCCAGGTTGTTCTTTGTGTGCCTCTTTTCCCATGAACCTTTGTGTGAGTTTGTTAGGGCGGCTGTAACCAAGTGCCACAGGTTGGGGGTGGGGGTGAAAACAACAGAAGTCTGTTTCCTGAGAGTTCCGGGGGCTGGGGGTCCGGACTGGGCTGTTGGCAGGGCCGGGGTCTCTTGAGGGCCGTCTCCTGGGCCGGCAGATGGCCGCCTTCTCCTGGCGCCCTCACACGGCCTCCCCTCTGTGCTTGAGCATCCCTGGTGTCTCTGACCAGTTTCCCCTTCTCATAAGGACACCAGTCACACTGGATTATGGTTCATCTTAATGGTCTTATTTTAACTTCATCACGTCTCTCCAGACCCTTTCTTCAAATACAGTCCCACCCTGAGCTCCTGGGAGGGAGATGTGGGGGAGCCGTACTCCGCCCACGACCACCGGCCTGACTGGGTTCTTTTTGCTTCATTGGCTCCTCCCCTCTTTCTCTCAGCCATTTGCCTTCATTGTGGCTTTTGCTTATACAGCAAGATGGGCTCTGAACCCTCAGCCCAAACCCAGCTGCACCTCCCCGCTAGGCCCTTGGGTGTCTTTGTGTGACCCTGAACGGTGCGCCCAGTCAAGCTCCCACCTTCCCTCCCTTCTGCCCTGATACAACATCTTCTGGTCATTGTTCTGCTTTTATATCCTCCTCCGGGTGGCTTACTGTTAACAGCATCAGGGTAATTTTTCCAGAACAGCGGGTTTTATGGCTTCACGTTTTCCCTTCTGTCCCCACTGTCCAAGTTTCCCCCTTGGGCACAGGTCGTTGCAGTAGCTTGCTTGCTGGACACTCCCCTCCCCGCAGCCCCCGCCATCCATCTTTTTCCAGCCTGTAGAACAGCTCCTCCTCAGATGGGTTTTTCTAGAATTCTGCTTTCTTGGGTCCTTACTCTCCCCCAGTGGCTCCCTGCTGCCTGCAGGGAAGGACCATACTTCTCAGCAAGGTGCTTGAAATCCTTCTGGTTTGGTTCCAGTCGGTTTTCCAAGCGCATTTCCAGCATTAATTCCTACTCGTCTTCTCTGCCTCCCCGTTTCTGTCCCATAGCTTTGTTGGGGCCGTTCCATTTTCCTGCAGTGTCGTCGTCTGCGTGCTCGTCTTCCTCCAGGTATTCCCCGACATTAAAGAGTAGATTGAGGTCCGTTCTACCTTCTCCATGGGGGAAGCCCCCTGTTGTAGCCCGTGACCATTCATGTCCAGACAGGGCCGGTCAGCGAGCAGCCATTGTTGAACTCTGTGTGCCCCACGCTGTGTCTAGGTAGGTGCTGAGATCCAGAGATCCCCAAGATTTGATTCCGGCTTTAGGGCGGTCATGGAGGATGTAATCAGGCAGAGGCATAGAAGACTCAACCCCATGAGTCATGGGCAGCGAGGGGGATGCGGTATCTGAGCCTTGCCCAGGTGTTGGGGATGTGATACTGGAATGGGGTTCCCGAAAACTAGACTAGAAGTTTTCAGCTGGAGAAGAAGTGCAAAGCATTCATCCAGAGATCGCTGTGCATTAAAGACCTGAAGCGGGGCGGGGGGGGGGGGGAGCTGTTCATAGCGGAAAGAGGGTTGGGTTTTGTTTTCAGGGAAATAACTTTGTTGTCATTGATAGTATTTTACGTAGAATTGTTTTTCTGGAAAAGGGGAACAGTGAGGAGATGGCAGGAAGGAAATGAAGCCGGAGAGAATTATGATAGAAACCAGAGAAGAAATCGGGAGAAAAGACCCTACCTTATGCTGCCTATGTTTGTGTGAGTGGAGTTTTAGCTTCAACCAATTAAAAACTTGAGAACTACCGTGTGTTTTATCTATTTATATTTATACTACCCACATTACTTAGTATGTTGGTGTGTCCATAGACGGTAATTAATGGTTGCCAATGGCATGGCTTAGGCACTGTTTATCATCCCCTGTCCAGACTCAAGACGTGTAAAAGTGGTGTGTCGCTTGCTGCAGACGCTGAATAATATGTTGAAAATGACTGAATCTATTTTATGAACAAGAGTGGACTGTGAAACTAGAAAATATAAAATACGCACAACTATTTGCATGTGTTGGTTGGTTGAAGGTGACCTTATTGTTCGTGAATGCGTGAAGCCTCCCCGCGTGTGCTTGCTGGGCGGGGGACGGAGAGACCACCGAGCTATGGTTCCAGGCATCCAAGGAAGGGTCGGAGATGACCGATGTCCCTTAGGTGCTTGAAATGAGTCTCCTCCTCTGATGTATTTTTCTTTCTCACTGTTTTCTGCAGATAGTATATAATCTGCTTTCACCATGGGAGAAATAGAGCAGAGGCCAAGTCCAGGATCGCGACTGGGGGCCCCGGAGAATTCGGGGATCAGCACCTTGGAACATGGACAGAAGCCGCCCCCAACACCTTCAGGAAAACTCATGTCCATCAAAATCCAGATGCTGGATGACACCCAGGAGGCATTTGAAGTTCCAGTAAGTTGGGGTGTATCTGTGAACTCCAGAGCGTGGGTGGGAGGCTCATCTCTTCCCTGTTCTCCATGACCCGAGGTGGCAGGACTAGGGTCCACGCCTCCCTCTCCACCCCCTGCACGCTCCCCTGACCCGCTCTGGTTTTGAGCTGTCTGGTTTTTAGATTCACGCATGCGCTGCCTGTGTAGCGATCTCCGTGGGCAGATCCCTTGAATGGTACGGACCTTGTATGCATATGCACGAATTCTATGTATCTATTTGAACTGGATACAATTGTGATCCTGTGGATGCATCTCTTTCTACTCTGCTTGCTCCACGGATTCGTCTCTCGTTGGTGTATGCGTTTGCACGTGGGTGTGCCCCTTCTGTAGCGTACGGGCAAGAAAAAGCCGGAGAAAACCATCAAAGAGCTGCATGCGTGTTTTCATGTCAGTAGAGAAGTGGATGACTGTGTTCAAGAGTGGGAAGAGTGGAGGGGTGTAGAAAAACCCTGATCCAGACCCACAGTGCCGCAGCCCTGGAATTTCAGAGCCCCGCCATCCAGGGGAGGAAAATAGAGGTATCTGGGGCTGTGCAGAGAAGGAAGAATCTGCAGCGTTTGCCTCTTTCATCAGTGGGAGCACTGCACCCTGGCTCTCACGCCTTCACTGCCATGGTTCTGTGATGTTTTTTCCTTGAGCCCCTGACTGCTGTTCCTCTCCAACCTCCTTTTTTTTTTTTTTTAAATTTTTAAATGTTTTATTTATTTCTGAGAGAGAGAGAGACAGACAGACAGACACAGAGTAAGCAGGGGAAGGTCAGAGAGAGAGGGAGACACAGAATCTGAAACAGACTCAGGCTCTGAGCTGTCAGCACAGAGCCCGACACAGGGCTCGAACCCACTAACTGTGAGATCATGACCTGAGCCGAAGTCGGATGCTTAACCGACTGAGCCACCCAGGCGCCCCTCCAACCTCCTCCTTAAATACAATGCCTCCTGAGGGTTAGGGAGCTAGCAGCAGTTACAAGCAGATAGAGGATTTCTTGTGCCCAAAGCAGGCAGAGTGAGAGGCATAGGTGCCACTCTCCAGAACTTGGATTGCACCTTTGTCCAGAATCCTTTCCCCTTACGTGGGCGGGGGTCCACAGACCTACCTTGTAGCCCACTTTGGGTTTAGTTTTCTCTGTTCTGTCCTCCGTACTATCCACCGCATCTAGCATCGTTGGTGGGGAAGAAAACCACTCTTGAATTCTAAACGGCTAACTTAACAAAACTTTGGGAATATAACCTGTTCTTAAAGAGGAGACGATCCGTCAGTTATTCCTGTTGGCTGTGGAGGGACTGGAATTTAATGACATTAACATCTGTAACCCATCCTTTAATCATTTAGGTGGTATGATTCACTAAACTCTATTCATCCTCAAGACTATTGTTCAGAGAGTGTGAATTCCCATGAAGTGTCTCGGGGAGAGAGAAAGCTCCGAAGATCTGTGTGTAGAACTGCCAACTTATTGCGCATTTCTTTGTTTCTTGTTGGGGAAATGCCTGTCTTTGAGAGTCTTGGGAGTGCGTCAGTATTCTGGTGAACAAAGCCATCGCTCGTCTGTTGAAACTGTAAAAATAAGCGCACCTGCCAGCCTGTTAGAATTTGGCCTTCTGGAACATGTTCTCCCTCCCCCTTTCCAGCTTTCTTCTCTTTGTTGCCAGACTGGTTTGATGAGGTATTTAGTTTCAGGGTTTCCTGTTCATACTGTGCTAAGGACTTCGGAGCCCGAGTCTCGAGCAACACATTCTATTAAATCGCATTCCCGTGTGTGGTTTGGACTGACAAGCTATCAAATATTGCTGTTGTGTGTCCAGGCTACATGGAGTCCTGTACTGTATTCAAATGCATTTCTTCAGTGTCCCTAAACCAAAGAACATCAAGACTGTTTCTAGCTGTTGTTTTTCTAGGAGCTCTGTGGGATCTCCCTGCCTGAGAAATCGGAATGGAGTTTGTTTTTATCTTTTAAAAGTATTTTACTTGATAACTGCTGAGGTCGTGGTTGGCATTTATAATCCCTCTGTCTGGAAAGAACTTTTCTCATTTTCCCCCTGCTTAAACTCCTATGCACCCTTAAAGACCCAACCACTTTTACCCAGACATGAAATTCTGAGACAGACTGTGGCTTTTTCTTCCCTCTCTCTGCCCTCTTTACTTATATACCCATCAGGGTTGAGGTAGACTCCTTAGGTTCAAATTTCAGCCTTCTTTTGTTACTGGCTCATTGATCCTCTTGGACAAGATATCTCTCTGTATCTCCGCTTTCTCCTTTGTAAAATGAGGCTAGTGATAAACCCTGTCTCTCACTGTGATACTAACAGTTGTTCCAAACACTCTATTTGTAACAACTCGGCACCTTGTAAGCACCTAATGACCAGCGTGGCAAGTGGTGCCCTTGTCGCCTGGGCAGGTCCCTTACTGCTGTGCCTCATTCCCAGCGCCTGACATGTGCTAGGTGCTCGTTAAAACGTTGCCTGACTGAATGTTAGAGCGAGTTTATTTTACACGTAGAATTGATGTCCTTATTTTTTCACATGCCTCTTCCATTCACATTTTGATTTTCCTAGTTTGGCCGGAATTTTCCTTCTCAACCAGATGTTTTCTGTAGCTGCCTGTGGAAAGGCAGATATCAGCATTTTTATTGACTGGAGCGGATTCTAAATTGCTACCTTGTGTTCTTTCAGAACAGAAACGGCCAGGCCTTCGCGCAGCTGGAAGGCATCAGGCCGGCCATGGTGACTCAGTCTTAGTACTCAGGACGGGATTGCAAGAGACACGGCCGCCCATGACTTCTGGAAACCTGGCGCCATAGCTTCTTGTTGTGACTCCGTCAAGGCCGGGTGTCTGGCCCACATGGGATCCCTCTTTCATGGGACTCCTCGAGACAATATATGTTCTTTCCTTACTCACATTTGCCACACAGATGAGCAGGGCACGTGGCCGGACATCCTTATGGCTTCCTCTGCGAGCCTTCTTGTATGAACGGCGTATTTCCTTGGGGATTGAATTTCCTGGGCCTTTTCTTAGTTTTTAGGGTAGAATGCAGGCAGAGCCATCATTTTACTTTATGGTTTTGAGGCTTCTTTTGAGAGACAGATGGGGGAGGGGCAGAGAGGAGAGAGAGAATCCCAAGCAGGCTCTGTGGTGTCAGTGCAGAGCCTGACGCAGGGCTCAAGCCCACGAACTGAGATCATGACCTGAGCCGAAATCAAGAGCTGGACACTTTAACAGGCCACCCAGGTGTCCCCTGTCATCATCTTAAATAACGAATTCCCTAAGTACTTCTGAGCACAGATCACCAAACCCTAGTCTGTATAGTTGTCTCTATTGCAATATAGAGTATAGACCTTTAAAAAAAGTCCTTTAGGAGCCTTTTGAAAAGCCTCCATGATGAACACCACTTTCTTCCACTTTGCATGCCGTTCCACCAGCTACCCTCGCTCTTGAGCTTGGATGGTCATCTTTGGTGTTTCCTCTGCAAAGCAGAAATTTCAAACGCAATACTTCTAGTAAATTCTTCCATGGCGCTTTATCCTCTTCATGTGGAAAATGTGTGCAAATAAGCTTTCCCCTGCGGTTTATGATCTATAACTTTCTCTTCCAGCCAGAGGGTGTAACATGAAGTGCCTCACGCAGATCTGAAAGGGTTAAGGACCCTTCTCCCTGCGTCCCACCCCAGCCAGGGCCAACCCCCCACTTAAGATCTCTGCGAAGGTTTCCTATGCCCTGTCCTCCTGACCCTGCTGGTAAACAAACACTGTTCCTACGGACATATGTAGCATGAAGCAGATGGCTGCTCCTCCGAGTGTTTATTCAGTTTTGTTTTCGTTAGCAAGGTCACTCTAGGAAGCGTTGAGATCAGGGGATATAAAAGGGAGCCAGGTTTTTGTTTTTTTTTTTTGTTTTGTTTTTTCTGCTTTTGAGCAGCCCCTGGTAAAAAACACATGGGAAAGATGCTCACAAGACAAGAAGACCCCCTGGTCTGGGTTGAGGGCAGGAGTGGCCAGGTGCGGGGAGGCTGGTGGAAACTTCTGAAACCGGACAAGACAGCTGAGCTGGGGCTGCGGCGCCGCTCTTCTCTCACTGCTGTCCTTTGTGGGTCCCCTTCCGTGTTAGCATCTCCTGCCAGCCCTGCTCTTCCTTGTTGACCTGTTTGGTTGGGGGTCCAGCGTGTAGAAGGGGAGCCCCTCGGGGCAAGGCCTCCTGTGTTCTTGTTTACCACCGGGTCCCACTTCCGGAGCTGTCTGGACCCAGCAGATGCCCGCTGCGTCTTCCCGACTGTCCACACCTGCGTTCCGTCGCCTGGCTCCCGAATCTGAGAGGCGATGGGTGCTGTCCTCTTGAAGAGCTTCTGGTCCCCTTCTCCGTTTTTGTACAGCGTTAAGATTGGAACCCAGCCTCCTGACCCCCAGTACCGCCCCCTTCCCTGCACTTAGCATCACCTCTCCCACGGCTCCCAAGGGAAGGTCGCCACTTTCTCCCCTCTGAGCTGCTCTGGTGCTTTCCCCGTTCTAGACCCCGCCCAGCCTCCCTTCCCACACCCTTCTCTCCATCCCACCCGCCATCCGGGGTCCCCGGGGCTCTTGCTGGGGGCCCTCAATGCTTGTTATCTGCACCTCTAATTACTTTGAACCACAGGCTCCCATCTTCCTTTCTCCTTAATTAGCTCCTTTATATCCCTGCTGAGACTGTTTGCTTATCTGCAAAATGAGGTGTTTCGTCTAGATGATATTAAAGGCTTTTGTCCCCCCCTCCCATTTTTGGGAGCTGGGACTCTGATTTGACATCTTTGTTGATGGATTGTGTAACTTCTCAAGACTAGTGTTTTAATTGCTCCGGGCAGATGGTCAATTTTGAGAGAAGGAACTTTTCATCTTAAATAAAAAAGAACCCCCAAACCTGATCAGACAATAGTAGTTTGTTACCTAGTAAGTAACTAAAACACACACACACACACACACACACACACGACCACAACAC